TATATCTGAACCGGATACTAAGTGTTCTAATAGTTTTAGGCAATTTTTGGCTTTTTAAGGCATGAACATTTTTAAAGTGTAGCTCGACGTTTAATGGCACCAGTCACTGGGATAGTGGACTCTGTGCGGCTAAAGCCATACTATATAGTACATACATATAGTACAGCTGTCTGTTTGTTGTGTGGGTGTCTGTGTGCGCTGTGGGGCCTGGGGCCATCAATCCATGTTGCCTCGGTATTGTCGCCAGCATTCTCATTCTGATTTTCATTCTGGTTCTGGGTTTGATTCTCATTCTCGACCTTGGGCTGTGGCTGTGGCTGCTGCGCCTTTGTTGCGATGTCGTTTGTAAACAACGTAAATATTTATAAGGACACACCAGAACTTACAATCACACACATATGAATATATCTGATTTCTTTTGCTCGGCTAAGCTTTGGTGCTGTATACTTATATCTACGCGCATTTACTCGTACATTGAGCAAACATGTCTATCAGCTTCATCCGGTTTAGTTGTCAGGCCGCTATAGCCCCAGACTTTCTTACCTAAATCAATACCAAATAGTGACAAAAGTACGGTCAGCTAGGAGATTGAATGCCAAGGGCAAAAATCTTAAACTTGCAAAATGTTTTTATTCCCTTTCGGATCGCTGTGACATTCAATTTTTGTTTTACTGAAGTTATTTTAATTCACGCCACCAAATTCCATTTTAATTTAATTTTTGAATTCATTTTTGTATTCTTTTTTAACATTTTTTATGTGTTTTAATACCCTTGTGCAAGGAAATGACTTGGGAGGTACATTTAAAAGTAATGGGAAGTCCACTACTGAAGTTTTCGATTTTTGGGAGCACGAAAGCGTGAGATTTTATGTTTCTCTTGACGACTTAAATCAAGTTCCAAATTCTTTAATCACTTGGGACTAATTCATGCATACTTGTAATTCTTTGCATAGAATAAGATTTCTGCTATATTTAAAAAAGTCAAATAAGCTTGAAATTTTAAGTACTATTCGAGACCTTAATTTTAGACAGCAAATTTTTCTATTAGTGATTATGAGTCGATATTAACATGTTACCTTTAAGGTGTGCTCGATTCTAGTAGGCGCTTACCAACAGTAAAGAATTAATATTTTGTAAATTTATCAATGCTCGTATATATATATGTATATATGTATATATTTTTTTGACATTTTATTATACTCTTTGATAAGTAATTTAGTAAAATACCTTTTGTGTAAACACGCGAACATTCGATATATTGGGCGGCATACCGAAAATTTTTCTCAAACAATGACCAAATGTTTTATATTAACTATCCTGAGGATATGTCAGTAATACGTTGGGCTTAACAATATCTAGTAATGGAGTGCCATGCTCTGAGTTGTCTACATCTTCTAGCATGCCTTCATAGACTCTAAGTTTTGTGGTTGCACCACATTAGTGGTTTTTAAGTTCCATTCTTTTGATAGTGTCCTTCGTGAAACTTGATATACGCATCGCACTCGCTAACGATCGTGAGAGCATTGCCATTAAAAGTTACACATGTCTGCTAACTTGGCCTCAATTTGTATTGCCAAAATGGATGCTTTGGAATCAAGGCACAAGGTAAAAGCTGCTCCCACATGCTGTCCGTTTATTAGAATTAGTAGCGTATTCCAAGTCTGTACCTGTACATTTAAGTATCAATGTCCTTCGATTTACAATGTTTGCTTTTGCAAACAGATGCCAAATGACCAGTCTTGCCACATTTGTGGCACTTGTTGTCCTTCTACTACAAGTACAAGTATATGAGCATTGGCTCGAGACGCGCTTCCGCAACCCACACCTCTAATACGCCTGTCGCTGATGAAGTTGTCTTCAGCTGTGCTTCACATTTCATTACCGGTACCAGTTACGGTTGAATTGGCTTTTGCTGTCATCTTCGTCTTAGCCATTAACGCCTTTTTTAATGCTTGCTGCGCCGTTATGGTCTCATCCAAAGGTCGCTGTCAAGCCAACGATAAACTTTTCTAGTACAAATGCGTCTAGATGTGCTTCAATTTTATAACCGAGCACGAGCAGCTTGACTCTCGCATGCCAATCCGTGGCTGACTCGCCTGTCCTTTTGCAGGACATGTGCGCTACAACCGCTCCTGAAACATTATCGTGGAGCGGCGCAAGGCGTTTGCTACAAGTTCATCATACAAGTGTATTCTGTTCAACGGTGTCTGAGCATCAATAGATTTAAGGAACTTCTCTATTTTCAAATGTAGTCTCTAGTCGCTATCGGCATTTGATTGAGAGACAATTCTGGTAAGCTCACGATTTGCATAGTCATATAGCAATTGTGTTGTTTTAGAATCTAATAAATCTGTGATTTTATCTAATAAAATTTATGATTTTTCTCGTTATTATTTTTCCCTGATTGCCCAAAAATTTGCTAAACTTTTATATACATATGTTTATATGTTTATATGTTTATATGAACGCGTGTTCATAATCCCAAGTGGCTTTATCGAGGGCGCCACAGAAATCTCTTCCGCCCAAATATCGCCTCAAAACCAATTCTCGGTGCCACAGTAATCTCTTTTGGGAGGCTTCAAATCGAATTGTGTCAATAAAACGCTAACAAATAGATTTTTCCACCTAAAAATAATTATTGGAATATAAACCTTATAGTTTTTCTGAACAATCTGCATCAGAAATATTTTGAATATCCTATATATGTAAATATTATTAAATTAGCAAACTACTTAATCTCTAGTTAAAGCATCCAAAACAACCGAACAATAGAAATGCCCCCTGGACCCAAATACAAAATTACATAATTCGAACATCATATTAATTCAGTCCGAGTCAAACGAAAGTTGAAGATTAAATATATATTCGCCGAAATTCTTGTTTCCAATAAATACCAAATAACTGTGCATTAATTAAACAAACTTGGCGAAAATTGTGGGTCGCCAGGTGTTGGGGCTGTTGGGGCTGTCATGTGAATTGCAGAGCTTGATGGAAAATGGAAAATGTATTAAAATTGCAAGCAAGAAAAGAAAAAAATATGAAAATACGGTACTGTCAGCTAAGTTGGTGGGGAAGTTCGAAAAATTGAAATCAACCGATGTTCTGTGGCCCCGATGGATTTTTTGTTTGTTTTCAAAAACAACCGCAGTCGAAATCTCTGTGTTGTACCCCAAAGAAAAAGGGTACATTATGTACATAGTTTAGTTCGAATGTACACCCAATTCTGTTTTTACACGGTAGATAAATGGGTGATTGGTTCCTTATCTCTAAAGAAATATATATGCAATGTTTAATTTTCAAACCTTGTTATATCAAAATCGTGTAACAAAGGCCGTGTAAAAGCAGAATTAGGTGTATGTACTTATATATATGAATATATGTAACACCCAGAAAGTCGCGTGACAGACTCCCAATTGAAATATAGTATATATTTTATATGTAGAAGTATGATTAGACGAGTCGATACAGCCATGTCCGTCTGTCCATCTATCTGCCCATCAGTCCGTCTGTATGAACGCAAGGATCTCAGGAAGTATAAGAGCTAGAATAACCAACTTCCTAGCTTTCCGTGCCTGGCAAGGCAATTAGTTATTTTGCAGTGCCCTTAGAAACTTTCGCAAGAAAAATAACATATAGCAAATATATACTTGTATGTATATATACTGTTGTCTATAAAACTATGATGCAATAGACAGTTTGTGATTCCTAAGGACAAATTTGGCTCGATTTAACTACGAATTAAGCATTAACATTAAGTTGCTACATTTTGTAACTAAATAGTTTTTTTTCCAACTAGCCTCGAAGGATTCAAAATTAACTTTTATAACGAGGTTACTACCTAGTCTACATACATAGTACTTGTAGTAGTATACATGTATGGAGGCAGGGCACTATCCTCTTAGGTTTCTTGTGTGGTCTGAGCTGTGGATGTTGGCCAAATGGCAGTCAGTTGAACTTGAAATCAAAAACTGTCACGCCAATTCCCAGGGCATTACTCCCAGTGCCAACAGTTTCACTTTCTGTCGCCAAGCGCAACAGTACTGAAAGGAATTGCTCGACTATTAACCCCAGGGTGTATGTGCGTGTGTGTGTGGGAGGGGGGTTTGGAACTAGGAGCCTACTCCTGCTGACAGCAGCCGTAGTTGTCTGTTTTGTCGTTCAATTTCTATAATGTGCCTAAAAAAAGATAAGTCATTGCCTCGCTGCTGACAAGTCCAACTGGCAAGATAGCGGTTTGCTGGCCCTACAAAACCAACAAACCCAACAATCGAATCAAATCCAATCCAATCCAATCCACCCACGCAAACGCGACAGGCAGGCGCGCTGGACCGCGCCAAGGATTATACGTATATACATGTACATCGGAAACAGGATATGTCAAGCAGATGTAGCAATGGTTGCGAGCAAAAAGCATCTCAGCAATGTGGAAAAAGGTTAGAATTGTTGCGCAAACTTGTGTTGCCTGACAACTGGGGGATTGAAGAAACCAAACTTACAAGTAGGAGCCGAGGTTTGCAGTTCCTTTGGCAAGTGCTGCAAACCGGCGCTACATTGGTGCCTGATACTCTGCCATACTCCGGGCAAAGGCACGCATGGATATGTTTTATGAGTTGCGATAAATGTTATTAACTTGGTTGTTGGCAAAACTTTTGTAATTGAACGCCAGCGACTCGAAATAAATACAAGAAGTCAGCTGAGAATTAGCTGAACACGGAGGGGATTATAAATACTAAAGAGTTTATTTTATTGACAGCTCACAGGGGCATACCAAACATCACTTTATCTGGTTAGTTATCCCACAGAAACTATTAAAAAGTTCGTCTACAATTAAGGCTGTAAATATAGAGGAGTTACCTTAAATATCTCCAATAATAAAGTTGTTTGTAGAGGTTGCTAGTAAGCTTTGCTGCACTATTCAACTGAATAGAATAGAGTCAGGACTATTCAGAACGCTTTATACTTTTGATCAGAGAGTACTTTTCATTTCGGTGTGGAGTTAACTTTTCGAAAAATTAGGCTCGCGCCCAACAGATGTTCTTGATGTTGTCAGGCTGTACATATACAAGTAGTATGGGCTTTGTGGCTGGTCATGCCGCGCAGAGCGAAGAAAATGACTCTAGCGAGCTCTCGGTGTACTGTGATTTCGATTCCGAAGGAGACCATGAGAATGCAGATAACACAACAAAGGAGCACGGCGACGGGCTGCCATTGTCGGAAATAAGGATACATGGGCTGAGCCCCACCATTCACGCGAAGTCGCTGGTGAGCAACTGGGAGTTGATATCCAAGAAGAAGTTGCAGGAGAGTCTGGAGCATAACTTGCTTGGTGTTGATGCGAAGTGGATGCTGTTTGTGACGGCGATTATGAGCTACCGCTACCGAAAAACAGTGATACCATATCCACTGAGCTCTCTGAAGCCCGAATCTGAGAGCATTGTGGCCCTAAGCTTGTTTGTGTCCACTATGCCCGCAATGCTGACATTGAAGCGCGAGCTGGAGGCGGCCTGTTTTAACTCGCAACCCCCTGAACATATTGCTTTGCTTTATTGGCTGCTGTTTGAAAGCGGCACGCCGAGTCTAAGGAGATTGCCTAATGACGAGGAGGTCCTTTTGTGGTCGTTGCTCGGTCAGAAGCCTAGCGTACCGCCAGACCTATTGTTCGGCGTTCAGCTCCCCGACGAAAACAGGCAACAAATTAGCTTTGATTGTAGCTGTGATCACATTTCCTGGGGCTTCTGCAGCGGCCACATGGATGGCATGTACGCGCTGCTCTCCTCATCGACCTGTCCGCAGAAGCACCAGCCTCTGCTCCCAAGTCTGGAAGAGGCTCTGGCACAGGCACGACTGTGCACTGGGTGGAGTCAATCGCTTTGTGGGTCACTGCTTCGCTGTGTGGCGGTCTGCGAGTTGCTCCCCAGAGGTGCGTGCGTACGTTTCCTGCTCATGTACGGCCAGAGTGTGGGCGGGCTGCAGCAGCAAGCCAAACAACCTGAGCGTCCACAACACCTCCACGGTAAGCTGAGAGGGCGACGGGCAGTGAGTTGGCTCAACTATAAGCGGACAAATTTCGCAGCCGTGCTCTTTGGCTTTGCAGCTGTCTCGGTGATGGTGATCTACATCAGAGACTGGGGAGAGCTTCTTCTTGGACCCATGGAAAGAGTTACTGAACTTATCGAACGCTGGCTCTAATCTGCATGAACCCGAGCTGGGCGCTTATGCCCACGTGTCTCCTAATTTACCGAAATGAAACCAAATTCCAGCGGTAGGCGAACGCGTAAATTGTTTGAAAATTTTCTATTTGTAATCCATACAAGTAAATTAGCAAGCCTGGGCTTGTCTTCGAGAACCTTTCTTATGAACCTCTCCTCTGTCTGAAAGTATATGGAGTAGTATGTATGTATATTATGTGAGTTGTTCACTGATTTTTTAACGTTGCTCTGCGACGCTGACGCATTGGAGCATAAATGAACATTTAAGTGTTTTCTCATTTTTCTTTTTCTGGGCTACTGACAAACAACAACAACAGCAACAACAGAAAGCACACCGCCAAAAACATTTCAACATTTGAAGTATGCCGCCAGCTCCTTAGTAGTGTGTGCGCGTGTGTGTGTGTGTGTGTGTGCTCGGCCATTGACATGAGCATGTCAAACACATGCCGCATGTGGTGCTGGTGCCGGTGCCTGTGCCCGTGCCCGTGCCGGTGGCGGTGATTGTGATGGTGATGGTGATGGCAGTGTAAGTGGCACTCGAGTTGCGTTATTACATTTTCATGATGGGTTTATTAGCAACTTGTGGCAACTGTACCAAAAATTTGCCTTAAAGCCTTGAACGCTTTCCATTTGACTAAACAGTCCAAGTCTGTATCGCAGTCGCTGCCTCGGCTGGCGTCGTCTATTCGTCTCAAAACATTCTCGTTGATGAAATATGTAAAAATGAAATGCGAAATTGTTGCCCAAGATATATATTTAATATGCAAAAAGCAGTCGTGTATACAAATAAAGTACACATAAATAAACGCACAGATATCAGAGGCACACTGGGACGCAGTATTGGCCGGATGGAGCGAAGGCCAGACTGAGGGGCAGACATACACACAGACAAACAGACAGACAGACAAACTGACGGATGAACGGTCGTGCGGATATACGGAAATGAAACAAATCTTTTGTGGAACGCAAAGTTAACGCGTCGTATGCGCAATTTGGGCGCGCCGCCAGCGCCTAGCCCTAGTCTGGGATGAGGCAAGGGTAGACCTTTGGGTTTTTTTTGTGAAGTTGTTGTTGTTGGTGTTGTTTTAGCTGCTCATGCAGCTTGCACGACCAATATGTATATTTTATTTTAGCACGAATATTTATGCAAATGGGGCACTGCGCTAAAGTCTATTAAATTTGCATATTTATCAATTTATTTTGCATGATTTTCTTGTGTTTTGGTTCATTGTTTGTTTGCTTTAGCCAGCATATTTTAATTATTTTTGCGTGCAGCCGCCGTCACTGTTGACGGCGACGGCGACGTCGACGTCGTCGATGCCTTGAGTTATTTTAACTTGTTTGGGCATCCATTGAAGATGGGCCCAGATTGTGGTGGAATCAGAGAGAAGCTAATTAATTAAAATGCAATCCAATTTCAGCATACGGCGCACATCAAAGCGCTCGGATATGCATAAGGCGCGATCAAATAAGAAATGAGTACCAGGGCCGTCCGCCAAACTAGACGACCACAAGGACGACAGCCGGGCAGGCATTCAGCACGCGTTAATTATCATTATGGTAATTAATATGTATAGCCAAATTATAATGAGACCCAAGCACTCTGAACCAAATTTGCCATCAGGCATGGGACAGAGCGACTTGATGAGCTGTCAGTCAACGGTAAAAGTAGAGGTTGGAGAATGGAAAAAATATTGCTGGCAAAGCATCCCAAGCTCCCCTAGCATTCCTACTAGCCTCACAACCTTTCCTCCCCTCAATTACAGCTGCCACGGTAACGTTTTTATACGTGTATATATGTATGTATGTATGTATCTTCATTCATATGTCGAGCTGCCATAAACATGCGGCCCGTTCCAGCGCCTTCTTACGACCAACGCTGAGCTGTCCGAGGAAAAATGCTTATTAAATGTAAATAAATCTGATGATGTTGGGCTAAGGAGTGGACAGCAAACAAGCAGCGCACATGTCAAAAGTCACAGAGACAGTAACAGACAATCTGAAGTTACAAACGCACCACCCAGACTCAGACCCAGACCCAGATCCAGGCGTAACACCACTCCCTCTCCCATAATCGACTGCGGACCCAACCTAGTCACCTGTGTGCAACGTGCCGTACTCCCCCAAAACTGCAGCTTCGTATTTCTTTAAGCAAACAGGAATATAAGCAGAAGGGCGCCATGCACTTTGCGCGTTTGTATACAAGTACTCTGTACCTGAAAGGAACAAGGGTATATAGTATTAGGTTTGTGCAAAGTGAAAAATCTAACTGGCAGTGACAGGCGTGGCAGACCCCATAAAGCAAATATATTCTGAATCAGCATGACAAGGCTATTCATTCTGGTTCTGTCTGTCTGTCCATTCGCATGAACACTTGGATCTCAGAGACTATATAGTAAGAGCTACAGACACCGAATTTGCAGAGCCTTATATGTAAGTGAACGCAGTACAAGTGTATTTCCTCCATCCTCCCACTCCCCCGCTATTAGTGACTTTATATATCTACCGTAATTCCTGGAATTTATTTTACTCAAATTTAGGAAATATTTGGAGTGAGTAATTACATACGTACAAGTTATAGCCATAAAAGCAATTTGTTGCTGTAGTTGCTGCTCTGGCTCAACTGTTTTCATGGATATGAACTGTACAAAAAAATTACTCTGTTATCCCTAAAGGAACTTACATTTTTAATCATTATTAATGGATCAATTATTCATAAATTAATGATGTAATAAATTAAAAGTTTAAAAGTTCAAAAGGATTTTTGTTTTTAATACTACAATTTCATTACCATTTTTAATTTTCTTAATTTTTTTAAGAAATTAATTTTTTAATTAAATTTGAAGAATATGAAATAGGATTTAGAATGGTTGTAATAAAAGGACTAGAATAGAAAATCATAATTTTATCCTGCCCTCGAACATAGGAGAACATTTAACCAGTTTTGGAGACTCTAGGTATTATACTTGTATTTATGAGATTCTGGCTTTTATACAACCAGACAGACATAGAGCTGAACGATTCGTTTTGTATGGTGATCAAGAATATATATTTATGTATATATTTATGCCACCCCCTCAGTCGGGGTGATAAAAAAGCTGAGCGATTTTATACCGTACTTTAGAAAACTTGCTCTCTATTTATAATTCTACTTTTATTTCCAAAAACACGTTCCCGTAAATATAAGATATGTTAGTAACTGACTGGCCCTTTTTGTAAAATGCATTTAATATAATTTGCTGGTTCTTCTTTCTATGACAAAATTTATTATTTATTCGTGTCATATCGTTTATGTTATTTAGGGTTCTTTGTTTTTCACCTACATTTTCCAACTTAAAAATTAAATCTAGATTAGTTTATATGAGTTAGTTAACTCAAAACGCAAATCTTCTTCATTGCCGGCATCTATTTTTTTTTCGAAAAATCTGTCTCTTCTGAAGTATAGTAAAGCTGTTTCGTAGGGTTTCTGAGGTTTTACCTTATCTGTTTGTAAAATAGTTACCTTTACTTTGCAACATCTCTGTCAAACTCCACATAGTTTCATAAAAAATCGGATAATCACGGCTAATTTCCTTGAGTTCGTCTCCTTGGTTTTCTTATGAGGATGCAAACGGATGTCGTCTACACCCAATACTCAAGGCTTCCCTTCCCTTTTATTCTAGCTTTGTGCGAATGTTTGTAACATATGGATGGTGACATGCCAGACCCATATTATTGATCGGTTTGCCAAGGCGCAAGTATCTCTAAAGGTATTGGAGCTATAATAACAAAGCTTAGTATCTATATACAAGTAGGATAAGTTTGTGTTATATTTTCTTATGCGCCCTCCCACAAATTGTTGTAATTTTTACTAAAATTTGTCAAGTACGAATCGTTTCACTGCTATATGTCAACAGTAAACTAAGCTATAACACAGGAAATTAATATAAATAAAGTAAGAACAAAGCTAATTTGTTTAAATTAAATTAAAAAATGTGTATATACATTTTTTCCATTCCATTCTTGTTTTTTTACTATAAAATTGTTTTGGTCTCTTGAGAGATATAGAACCATTTAATATCTCACTTACCCCCTCTCTTTCGCACAGTTGACGCATGCTGTCTTCAATTGTTTTATTAAGAAAGGTGTTAAGGCGATGCTATTGAAATCATTATCTAATTAATTAGTATAATGAGCAGAATAGCTGCTTCACTGAATTTTGCAAAGTAGCTAGATGGCAGTTAATGCACTCGGACGGACTTGTGCCGCAATGGTTGTTGTTCTTTCCCTTTCGTCCTACCAATTTGTCGCTTCGTCGCTTTGGTTTTGTGGCTCGTAATGTTGTGTATACTTATTTAGCATAAAACGCATTCAAGCAAATATTTTTTCATGACTTCCCCAACTTTAAGGAACTTTCTCATCATCTCGTTTTTGCGTGCTCGGTATATGTTATAAGAGCCTTTTATTGCCCACTTCAAAGTGAGTGTAGAATGAAAAGCAACAAAACAAATACTTGGATGTATTGTTTAAGGCAATGCATGTATTTACATGTATGTGTGTGTGTGTGTGTGTATGTGTATGTCCATAGCACATAATGCTATTTAAGCTCAGTTGCAAACAAGTTGAGCAGGGCCTCAGCTTTTGTTTCTTTGACCGCACCAACTTTCGCATAATTAAGTTCCATTTATGAAACTTACTTGTACATAGTATGTTTCTTTTTGCGTGAGTGTATGTATTTTCTTGTACATTAAGGTTGTTTATTTGTTGGACAAAGAATGTAAAACATGAAACACATGAAAAGGCAGTTTCTTTACTTAATGTATATATAATTTATATATACAAGTACTCGTACATGGGCGTAACGAAGAATCCGAACTCGAACCCAAATAAAGTCTGCCCATGTAATTGTATATTAATCTAAAACACTATTCACGGGTAAAGAAAGTTAGTTTCCTCATAATAGTACGAGGTTTATTTATTTTATATCCACATACATACATGTGTATGTTACGTTTGAAAACGTAAATTAAATAATAAATCTAGAAACTATTTTTGTGAGTTTCGATGTCAAACGGAATCAAACGGAGGGCTTAAAACTTGGAAACATTTATTGTATGTATATTTAAATTCATTTATTTTATTTATTTTTTATTCAATAAATGG